GTCTTCCTGGTGTCTTTCCAGCATGGATATCAATGACAGTAGACAGCGCCACTGCAACAAAACTGTCACAGCATTACCTTTTACCTTTGGGGTGAGATCTTTGGGCAAGGGTACCCTAAGAACCTCACAGAACTCCTTCGCTGCTTTCCTGTGATTACTGGTGCAAGTTTCCTGAGAAACCGGAACACCAGCACACTCCAGGTAAGTTACCAGGTCAAACAAAGTGCTATTACACCCCAATAACCACCTGATCACCAGCTTCAAAGCACCAATCCTTCTGTTCGTAATGCTTTCACCTGTCAAACACATTTGGAATATGCCAGGGAGGTGGGCCTCCATAGCATGTCTCTGGGTAAGATCCTCAAAACATCCCGGCACTGGGCACCGAGATCCTTGCTGGCCACAGGGAATATCCTCTAAAATCTGTGCCAGCAATGGAACATCTACATTATCAGGAATGGCCCTGATATCAGATGTTCGGTCTCTAACGCAACCTATACTTACCTTTCCTTCCCCTCCACTGAAGATTTGGCCTTCAGAGAGGGACTGTTGACCACGCTCACCGACCTTATTGGCAAGGACCGGCTGGCCATCTGCATCTGATTGGTTTTCATGAAAATCAATTCCGTAGATGACAGAAACCCTGGTACCCTGCTGGCCACCTAAACCGGAATCTGAAGACTCCACTGGTTTGGTTACCAACGGTACCACCTCATCTACATCTGTGAAGAACTTGACCCAATTGGTATGGGCCTTTTTACAATCTTCACATCCACCACAAGGCAACTGATCCAGCCGCGCACCAGCAATTCCACCTCGGCATGTCCCACTTTGCAGTGGTATTTTTGACATTGCGTCAGCATTGGAATGCTCGCAACTCACACGATGTCTCAACACCATGTTAAACCGGGACAGCTCTTCCAGCCATCTCCCCAGTTGCCCTTGTGGCTCCCTGAAATTCATCAACCACCTCAGACTTGAATGGTCAGTCCTGACCACAAATGGTCTTCCTAGCAAGTAGTGTCGGAACTGTTTGGTGAACCGAACTACTGCTAGCAGCTCTTTCCTGGTCATGCAAAAACCCTGTTGCTCCTTGGTAAGAGCACAGCTACCAAATGCAACAACTTTCTCTTGGCCCTCTTGCACCTGCAAGAGCTCTGCTCCAATCGAATCATTGGAAGCGACCGTTTCCAAGATAAATTCGTCCTGTTGATTTGGCAACGCTAACACCGGAGGTTGCGTCAACAAGCACTTCAAAGTCCTGAATGACTCTGCTTGTCCTTCGCCCCAGACAAAGTTGGCTTTGCCTGTGACGGCGTACAATGGGGCTGCTACCCTAGAGAAGTCCTTAACAAACACTCTATGATAGTTTACCAACCCCATAAACTTTTCTACCTGCTTGGCACTGTTTGGAACAGGCCAATCCTTCACCACTGCTATGTCATGCTCTGTCATAGCAATGCTGTCTTTGCCGACTTTACGGCCTAAAAACTCTACTTCTTGTTGGAAGAAGATACATTCCTTCGGCTTAAGCTTTAGCTTATGCCTCTGAAATCTCGAAAGAGCCTCCCGCAAGTTTGAGAGATGGTCCTCAAAATTGCATCCAAGCACGATGATATCATCGAGAAATGCCAGGACTGTCTTCCATGTCAAACCTCTCAGGACTAAGTCCATTGCTCTGGCAAATGTGGCTGGGGCACCACACAAACCAAAGCCTTCTCTGATGTTCAACTGGAAGAATGCGGAGTTGGCATCCAATTTTGAAAACCAAACACTGCCAGCAAATGTGTCCATGCAATCATCGACTAAAGGCAAAGGATACACGTCTTTGACTGTAACCTTATTCAACGTCCTATAGTCTATGCAATAACGCACAGAGCCGTCATGTTTCCTAATCAAAACTGGAGCAGATGCCCATTTGGATGTGGCATCTTGTACACCCCAGCCTTCAGCATTCCCTGAGGCTGGGCCTCTTCTTCCCCTGCAAAGCATGTTGGCTTTCGCCTCATACCTTGCTTCACAAGCTTTGCCTCCTTGGTATCTATATCACGTTCCTTATCAGTGAAGTCACCAAGGTCAAGTTCACCCTTGATGAAGACATCTTGGAACTCAATCAGCAATTGCGCTAATTGAATCCGTTGACCTTCATCAAGGCTGCCACAAGAGGTGTCATAGACCTCCTGCAGGTGTGGTGGTATTGGACCAACCGCACCTGATGTTTCAAACACTTTGCTGGGCAAAGATGTTTTAACATCGCACTCATTCCTGACAACTTCACTGATGGCAAATGCCCTCCCTATCTCTGTTCCCCTCCTGACAAGGCGGTAGCTATCTGATGGATTAACAAGACACAACACAGGGGTGTTAGTGCCTTCATGTAACACTCGGGGAGCCAGAAATTTCTTCTGGTTCACTGGTTCCACGATATAGCTATGCAGGGGAGAGTGCAACCTGCATTGGACTCTCGCTACAGAGTGTGGAGGGATAACCTGTCTCTTAGACACTGTAACCTTGGATACCAAGGGACTATCTGATGAATGGACATCTAGGGAGATGCACATACCATCAAAGTAAAGCGCTGCCTTGCTCATGTCTAGCACAGATTTGCCAGGGTCACGAAGCAAATCAAAGCCCAACAGCATTTGTTGCGCAATGGGGCAACAAACATGTTGACCTGGTAACCACTGGTGACCAACCTTCAACTTAACCGGACCAGCTACAAAGGCTGCCATAGACAATTCCCTGCCAGCAGTTTGCAGCTTGACATCCCTTATCTTGGGGGCTTGTGCTTCAAGGAATTGTAGACCTTATCAGAAATGATGGTCACCTGGGCAGCAGTATCTACCACTGCTGTTACTTGGACATCCCCTACTTGGACCCCAACTGGGAAGAGGAATTGACCTGACAGACAACAATAGGGTCTGGTTCGACTCCCTCCCGTGCTTACTTGGCTGAAATTGGCAGCCAACCGGGATTTTTTAAATTTGCAGGTCTTGTCTGCAGACAGGGGACGGGAAACGACCTACTTTTTCACCGTCCCTGTTTAACGACTTATGGTTGTCGTTAAGCTTAGGGCAATTTCTTTTGAAATGCCCTATTTCGCCACAATTGTAGCATCCGGTTGATCTGCGGGGTTGGGACAATTCTGACAAAAAGGTTTTTGTCAGTCTTTGCTCCAGGTCATTTAAGGCTTCGCTTAAATCATCAGTTGACATATCCTTTGCCTGCTGCTCCATGATGGCTGGGAGGCAACAGCAAAAACCTTTCCGTTTTTTTCCGGTCACCATTCATGGCTGCGTACACCTGCTGGTACTGGCGTACCATTTGTATGGCTGCATGCACAGACTTGGGTTGCTGCATGCAAACATGGAGACCGGCCTCTTTGTCAACCATACCCTGACAGAATCCGTTCACTGTTTGGACAGTGGCAAACTCCTCTGGCAGCTTCTTAAAAGCTCTATAACCTAGAGTGAGCACTCGGTCAGCCCACTCATCTAGGGACTCGGTTGTCTCTTGTGCTGCATTCTGAAAACTTACCTGTGCAGCAGCTGGCAACTCATGTTGGCCAAATCGGGCAGCCTACTTGCTAACCAGCCTCTTGTAGGTAAGCTGACCTTCTTGTTCACAGACAAGCGCATAATACTCGAGCGCTTTACCATCTAAACAGCAGACAAGGCAGCTAACTTGTTCTTCATCAGTCCACTCGCCTTGTTGGACATAGCGAGTGAACTTTAAAAAGAACGGTTCCCAAGTACTCTTACCATCATATGATAAGTGTTCAGGAAAGGCAGATATCCGGTTACGAACCCTAGTACGCCTATGGGCAATTGGTGCCCTGGCGAACACAGAGTCATCACTGCAATCACTATCCACTACCTGGTCAAAACGTATGGTATGTTTAGGGGTGGTATAGTCTGGAAGTGGTAAGGTAGGGGGGTGTGTGGATTTTGACTTTTTGGCAGTAAAATCCGCAGGAGTCATCAACTTCAGATTTTTATGTGGAAAAACCTTGTCATCTGTTGCAAGGGTGCAAACAGATGACCGTTGTTGCTGCTTGTGAGCGGCCAGAACATTGGTTGCCGCTTTCACCACCTTCACCATTTCCAACCAATCATGTGCACTTGGCTGAATATCTTCCTCCTCGTCCTCGTCTGTGTCTACCTAAAAGCTAGATTGGCCTAGCTTGTCAGTATTCTCAGCTGGCAGAGACATATTCTGTCTAAAGTCTATCATAGCAAGTATCTCAGGGGAGAACTTGCGACGACAGACGGCCTCTAAAATCTCCTAAGCGGAATTTGATGGCAAATTCCCGCTTAACTACGATTATTTACGTAGAAATTCTGGTTTAAATCGTTCAAGCAGATTGGCCCACTATGAACAAAACCAAGAATTCAGGTAGACTCCGTTCTATGAGTGCACACAATCGGTAAAAATATGGACCTTTGGTAGCGTCTATCTTTCGGAACGGAATTCGTAAAAATTACCGCTGCCACCAATATAGAACTGTCGCGATTGATTATAAAGGGATTGACAATACAAACAATCGACTTACCTTCCACGTCTGGATCGTAGCCAAGCTAGGAATTGCCTAATTCTTCTGGTTATGTATTATACACAAATATGGCGCCTTACTGTCAGCCTAACACACTAGTTCCGGTTGGTCCGGAACCTTCCGTTAACTTCCGTCAACTCCCGTAACCAGTACCATACGGTACTACAGATTTAAAATTTTACAGGCCCGAATGTTCTGTGCTATTTAAGGTTTTTCGTGAAAACTGATTAGCAGATTACTGATGAGAAGGAAATTAAGTTGAATTATGTGTTACAGTTTGACTACAATTCAGTTCAATCAGTCAATAGTTTAGTAGCTGTACACTTAACATATATCCGAAATAAGATCACCATCCGAATTTGGGAAACTCAAGCCAAACAAAAACAGAACAAATATTTCGCAGATAACTTTAAATATTACGTATACGTGCTAAAATGATGATACCAACCTTGAGAAAAATGTAAAATGTATGATTACTTATACAATTTGTTGATGAAACCTATAAAATCCTTTTTTTCAAGAACAAACAAGATTTTCTGTATTCGGAACTTCTCGGTTATTGCCAAACACTAATTATTTTAGGTCAGACAGTCCTATTTGATTTCCCTCCACTGATTGCAGACTCACCTTACTTTTCTAGAGTTATTCAATTTTCCAAGGCTCAACAGCAAATTTATGTTTTCTTTATTTTGACTGGCATTATATACAGTAATCAATGTATTTCATACGAACCTTGAACTAAAATAACTAAGCAGAATATGCATAGTATTGACACGTTTTCACTAAACCAGCAATTCTCACATATAATGACTATCGTTTGGCCCAGTAAGAACCAACATTTTTATGTACTTTATTACGATTAAAATTTGAGGTCCAGACATTTTTATAATCTAAGTGATTTTCCACAAAGCTTATTTATTTATTTATTTATTTATTTATTTATTTATTTATTATTAATTTATTTATTTATTTATTTATTTATTTATTTATTTATTTATTTATTTATTTATTTATTTATTCATTCATTCATTCATTCATTCATTCATTCATTCATTCATTCATTCATTCATTCATTCATTCATTCATTCATTTATTTATTTATTTATTTATTTATTTATTTATTTATTTATTTATTTATTTATTTATTTATTTATTTATTTATTTTTACCAATGAAATATGGTGTTGTATCTGTGAAAAATAAATATGAAAGTAGGTGAAGCCAAAACTCACATTCATTTTTAAGACTAGCTACTTTCTCAGATGTTTCTCTCTTGCCGTCAGTAGCTTCAGCTATTCATTTCATCTGGTTATGTTTTTCAAAGCTGAGATAAATTGTTTATTGAATTCGAACCGCGTCACGCACCTATAATTGATCATAATGTAAAACTGCTAATATATTTACTGTTTAAAAAGTATTTATGATAACAAAAATAATGCATTCTTACCTGTTCCACATGTACTCTTATAAATATAGAAACAGGGATAACAGTTTTGATATACAAACTTATGTACTGAGTTAATAGTCATTAACAAAAAGTGAAATTACCTTCCGTAATTCATTTTTAGTAAATTTAAGGTCTATTTATTTTTAGTATATCATAAGTCTTAGAAAAATTTTGACATAAAAAGGGAGTGAAACGTCTTCGTAAACAACTTTTTTCCTGAAGGTAAATTTTTTAAAAAAGGTTTATTTAGAAATATGGAATATTCTATCACTTAACATGATAACATTCTATAAACATTTTCCGGCTCGTGAAAATATATGGAATTTTATCATATTTCGCGAAAATATATTTCATATTTGACTTGAAAACGAAAACAATATCCTCTTAATATTCTGTAATATACGAACGAACGAACAAATTTATTTCACATAAACTTTACAGTTTCTAGTGGCTAGCCACTACATTTTACAAATTAACATATAGGTGTACATAGAACATACAATTGTGACAAATATCAATTATGTATACTAAAAGGATTAGGATATAATAATATAAGAAATTAAATTGATCTAATATTTATGGTGATGGACAATACATGTAACCATGTTTGTTTTATATATCATATATCATCATAAGTAATAAGAAACATCATGGTATCAATTCGTTTCGCTAAAATTTATAATAACATGTTTTGCGTTATAAATTATTTAATTTTAAATCAGCATAATATTAATAATACATTTTTTCGCTTGCTTTATGCTTTTCATGCCATTTAATATTCTACCAACAATTCGATTGATGTAAAAAGATACCATATGTTTCTATTTGTTTCATATGCAAAATACAATGCCATATAAAAGTATAAGTTATAATTAAAACACTGAGCACTCGTTGGATTACTATCATATAATATGCATTTTTCGTAGTAACATTAACTTTACTTTTTTCTTCAATGAATGTAGCATTTTTGAAAATTCGCTCGATATGAGCGATTGCTTCACTTTCTGTTGATGTTTTTTTTTTATTTTAAAATACTCATTCTAATCCATCGTTTGCTCACTTTCTTATACACATAGTTTTGATATATACAATCTTCTTTGTTTTAAATTATATATTTCTGAAAAAATGCATTTAGGATGTGCTTTATACAATCTATAAATTTTTACATCTTTGTCATTAACAAGCATTATATTTACAAATGATATATTACAAACAATTAAATGTAAATCAGATGTTGGATCGTAATAATCTACTCGTACGTATTTCTAGTGATTCATGTATAAATTTTGCTAACATGACAATAATTGACTTGTTCTTAGATGACAACAATTGTGTAAATTTAAACATACTTGGCTTTGTTCTAAAAAACTTCTTGATATACTTTAGTCTAATAGAATGATATGCCGGGCAATTAAAAACAAAATGGAACTCGTCTTCTATTTCATTACCATTACATATTTGACATACTCTAAGATTTCTCTCTAATCTATCTCTCCCATATCTGCCGGTCTGGATTCTTAGACTATATGCGGATATACGCAACTTTGTCAATCCGATCCGTAAGTTACGAGATGCGATATTGTTTAAATATGGTTCCATTTCTAATGTATCTTTTACATATTTATACAAATTTAAAACCTCCATATTGTTGATACTAGTTCGCCATTCTTGTGTAAATTCGTCTATCAAACGTTGCTTAAACATACTAAGAAACGCATAATCGATAGGAAGGTTTACATTTCTAGTGCTTATAACTTCATTCCATTTATATAAAAATCCGTATTTAGACAATAGAGTTTTTACATTTGTAAACCAATTGGATTTACCATTTAAACAATCAATTAAGTCCGACTCAACTATAGCCTTTATAATAACATTTTCACTATGGCATAATTTGAGCCAGTATTTAACTATACTAACATATTTATTTATGTACAAGGGATATCTCCCTAACTCTCCGTAAACGGCAGTATTACATGACGACTGTCTCACTCCCAATAATATCTTACAAAATTTAATATGTAAAGTTTCTAATTGTTTTGATTTCACAAAACCCCATATTTCACATCCATAGTTTATTGTAGACTTAACAAACGAATCAAATAGTTGTAAGGCTACTTTCGGCAACGTATCGTGTTTCTTTAAATTTGCTACGAGTGAACTCATTGCTTTAAGACCTTTACCATACAAATTTTGGGTATTTAATGAAAAATTTCCTGTATAGTTAAAAGTAACACCTAAATAGTTAAAATCATTAACATTTTCAAGAATACATGCATTTTCACCGTAGAACCACTTTTCCCTATTTCTCAAGCCCCCCCCCCCCCCCCCGCTTTCTAAAAACCATACATTTTGATTTATCTACATTTACCTGTAGTCCCCAAGTATTACAATACTCATATACTTTATTTAGTGACGATTGCAAATCAGACGGATTTGTTGCTAGAATAACCATGTCGTCAGCGAATAGTAATAATATGATACATAACTCATTTAAAGTAAGCCCACAGTTTACTCTATCTTGCAAGTATAGCTCAAGATCTTCAATAAACAAGGAGAACATAATCGGGGAAATTATCTCCCCTTGACGTAATCCGATTGCGATGTCGAAAAAATCAGAATAATTCATATTATCACATGAACGTATACACGACTTCACAGATTGATACATATTTCTAATAATGCGTAGAATTTTGCCGTTTAAACCCATATTATAAAGCTTATACCAAAGAGAATTTCTACAAATAGAGTCAAAACAGCGTTTCATATCAATAAAACAACAATACAAACGTTTGTTTTCGTTAATAAACTTCTGTATCAATGAGTTCAACACAAACACTGCATCAATAGTGGACCGGCCTTTGCGGAACCCAAATTGAGCGTCAGATACAATATTATTGTTCTCGGACCACTTATTTATACGCTCATTTAAAACCGATGTAAATAGTTTACCTAAATTGCTTAACAAAGTAATTCCTCTGTAATTTGTGACGTCATCTTTATCGCCCTTTTATGTAACGGTATTATGATGCCTTTTGTCCATGCAGCTGGGAAGTAACCAGTATTTAAAATTTTATTAAACAATACAGTTATGTAACCGGACAAAATATCACATGCTTCTATAAAGTACTCATTTAACAACTGGTCCTCACCAGCCGCTTTATGTTTGTTTAAACGTTTGATTGCATTGCGCACTTCTGTAAAAGTAATTTGTTCGTCTAATTCCGGATACACAGGTATAACATTATCAAAATCATGGTTGACATTTAAATTGTCAGCATCTGTATGAATATTAGCATTGACGTCAGAATACATGTTTTCAAAATACGTTTTTAACTCATCAACAGGGATATTATTGGCACTTTTAGGTTGCTTATTTTTGAAATACCTCCAAAATTCACGAGGTTTACATTTTTTAAGATTTTCAAAGTCTCTCGTTAATTTTAAATTATAGGATCTACATTTTCTTTTTAACAATTTTTTATATATTTTCTTACATCAACATAACTCTATTCTATTTTCCTCACTGTGTGTCCTATTAAACTGGTATAATGCGTTTTTATATGTTATTTTTGCAATTTTACAATCATTATCGAACCATTTAGAACTGTCGTCTTTGTTGTTATTTACAAACTGTTGTCCTGTATAAACGGTTCTCCGAAAAAGTGGGTCTGCAACGTTACGTATAATGTTTGTAAAAGAGTTCACCATTCTGTTTACGGAAGCTTGATCCTCTCCCGACTCGTCTAACAAATTATCAAAGTTTAACAGATTGCTTATCAGGCCTGCGCGATATGTTTCCTTTTCTTCATTACGCCATTGTATGTGTTCTGTTCGAGAAGTGAAATTGACTTTCTGTAACTTACTGGTATTTAATTCGAAACTAATCGGTGTATGGTCACTAAACGTATTGAAATCATGTATTTTAAAATCATCTATTATGTTAAAATTAATTTCCTTTAACAGTAAATAATCGATCACACTGGAACCATTCCGATTATAACATGTGAATGCGCCTTTACCACAGTCGCTCCCTAAACGCCCGTTTGCAATTCTGAGTAATGTCCCTTGCATAGATCGAGTAACTTATTTCCCTGCACTATCACATGAAAATCTCTGTATTGGTGTATCTGTAC